TTTCGTGTTTTGGTGTCCAATGAGTGACACATTGAGGAAGTGATTGAGTGATCGACTCCTTCATCACATGAAGTGTGAGCTTATCATTGAGTTTGAGTTTTGAAGAGTTATTTCATTCATTTGTTTTCATTTGGCATTCAATGCGCTAATAATTGAAATATAAAGAAATGGCTTATAATATGCCTTAAACTGATTCAATGGTTCAATTCATTGCATACATTATATCACTAATTATATCACTAGTTGTTAATTAAATATACAATTATAACGTAACACATGACAAACACTTAGACATGAAATATATATATAAATCAACAAAACATATACTCATTGTATGTCTACATTGAAATCCAATACTAATAACTCTATTGACTATAAATTAATTCAATAATTAAACGACAAATCAATTCAATGCTAATTAACTCTACATTTGGTCCCAAATGTCAATCAAAGCAAACCTCGAATAGCGGCCCCTCTTCTTGTAGTCGTCTCTGAAGTCATCTCTTCGTGAGTCGCGGCTGTAGTCGCGTCGAGGAGGGCCTCGAGGGGGTCCGCCTCTGAAGCCACCACCGCCGCCGCCGCCACCGCCATAGCGATCGCCTCCTCGGCCGCCGTAACCCTTGCCGTCGTGTCGGGTCTTTCCGGTCGACATCTCAACCCTCACTCTTCGACCGCAAATCGTTCTTCAAATGCGAGACAAAAGCCGTTTCAAAGAGTGGATCAAAGAGTGGACTAACAGTGCGCTCATTGGCAGCACAATATGGCTGTTCCTTAGGTGACATACTTGCCGTCGAGGCCACGACACGCGTCTTTGGCATCTCTGGGGTCGTCAAACATGACGAACGCAAAACCGGGCGGATTGGTGGCCACCCAGACGTTGCGGACGCTTCCGTACGACCGGAACGCCTCCTCCAACTCGTGTCGCGTCCCGTTTGCGCCCAACTCTCCCACATAGACCTTGCAGTCGATCGGACACGACTCGCGACCACCGCCGCCCCCACTGCCACTTCCTCCTCGTACAGACATTGCACTCAGTGTCAGTGAAATGGATCAGATGTATGGCTGATATGTCGCGTAGACTTCGCTTGCAATGAGTGTCCGATTGATATGAATGGCAAACAAGTGTCCAAACGATGCTAACAAAAGACTGTGCAACCAATGGGTTGCAAATCTGTGTTGACGTTCAGCC